GGTGAGCTGGGGGGGCAGGTGGGGGCCAAGTCTCCGGCGAGCTAGGCCCAGCTCCGGGAGGAGGGAGCAGAGGGGCAGGCGTGTGCGGAGGGTTTTTAACCCAACTACCCAGGGTTCTAACACAGGCAAAAAGGGAAGCTCCCAGGTTCAGCCTCCTGCTGCTTTGGAAACAATTGTGGTTGACAGACGCAGCGCCAGCCCCTCCTTAGAAAGATCCTCCCAGGAGGCGATGGGATGGGGCCCAAAGCCATCGACAGGCGCCCAGTAGCTTCTTAGAGAGCCGTGGCTCTTCACCCCCCTTCCCTGCCCTTTCGGGGCCAGCCCCCGGGGGCTGGTGGATGGGCCCCGCCCGCAGGCCCCTGGTCTGTAAGATCAGAAGGATGCTGAGCAAACGCACAGCTGGCAAGAGCAGCTACAGCCCGTACTCTGTAGGGCTCAGGAGGATGGTGGCAAAGCCCGGCTCCCGGGCCCGGGCCCTGGACTCCATCTCCAGCAGACCCCAGGTGTGGCTGAAGGTAGGTGGGGGCCAGGGAAAGGGGGGGCCTCAGCCCCCGGATTTCAGTTAGAACCCAGGCCGCCTTCTAGCCAAGCTGCCCCCAGCTGGGGACGGAGCCCGTCACTTGCAAGGTCAGAGGGCGCAGCGTGGTGTGAGCGCACCTCCCAGCCGGGGGTCTGGGATTCCTCGGGGCTCTGGGGGCCTCAGGTGTGGCTGAAGGTAGGTGGGGGCCAGGGAAAGGGGGGGCCTCAGCCCCCGGATTTCAGTTAGAACCCAGGCCGCCTTCTAGCCAAGCTGCCCCCAGCTGGGGACGGAGCCCGTCACTTGCAAGGTCAGAGGGCGCAGCGTGGTGTGAGCGCACCTCCCAGCCGGGGGTCTGGGATTCCTCGGGGCTCTGGGGGCCTGTGGTTTCTGCTTCCGGGATCTTGGAACTCACCGTCCCTGCCAGCTGCCTGGGGTCCCCTCTCAATGGCGGGTCTCTTCTTGCGCTTCGTGCGAGGGCTGGGGCCAGGTTTGGAGCGCGACGGGCCGTTTACCCGCCCAAGGGGGACGCGTCTGCTGAGCCCGACACTGGCGCCACGTGGCCCAGGTGCTGCCCGCTGGGGGGGGCTCG